GACTGTCCATGTAGCCTAGGTGCCCTGGGGTGCCCTCAGCTCTGCTTAGTCCAAGCAGAGCTCCTTCTCCCCCAGGCAACCTTCAAGTTCTTCTTTCCCTTACTTCCTGTCCATACCAATAGTAATTCCCAAGGCCCCTTGTGTCCCACTCGACCTCCAGGCTCAGGGCCAGGATCACTCAGACAAGGTGAGTAGATGGTCAGCAGGAGGTGGACCTGCCCCCAGCCTGGCCAGCCCTCATCCCTCCCATAAGCCTTTAGCCCATTCTCCATCAGAGGAATGGGGTGGAACCTTCAGACTTCCCCAATGGTCAGCGCTCCTTTGCTTATATTTAGCATTGGCCCAGATGAGCATTCATAGTGGTCTACCTGAGCTAGTCCTGCCCATCTCTTTTACCATGACTTCTGCTGAGCAGGATTTAAACATCTTATGGCTTTGACCCCAAGAGCTGACACACCTTGTCCCTTAATTTCTCTTCCTCTACTGACTGAGGCCTGATTCACCTCCACCATCTACCTAGAGCTTATCATATCTACATTGCAACCAAAGATACACAGTGTGGAGCACCCCAAACCAAGGAGGCAGATGTCATGACCTCTGACCCTTGTTTTGAAAGGTTCTTGCTCTTGGCTTTCATCATGGAAAAATCAAGAGCTCCAGGAGAGAGGCCAGACCATGATAAAGGGACAAGGGAACTTAGGGGTAGAAAGCCTTTATGCTAGACTCATGCCTTGGACCAAGGAAGGGGTGAGGCTCTGCTCAGCTGTCTATCAGGAACCAGGAACTGCTACCCTTCCCTGTGAGTCAGCACTGAGATCTCAAAGACCAAGTACACAGGGAAGCAGAAGACCACAGGTTTCTGATGGTGAGGCCAGCGGTGGAGCTGGCCAGTGCTGTCTGTCCCTCCCCAGACACACGCCCTCCTTTCCTCTAAAGCCTCATCTCTTATGTCCTCAGTCACTAGCCAGTCCACCTATCCTGGTGGCCCTATTCAATTCTCTGAGTCTTGGGGAACAGGGACCATTTGTACAAGTCCTGCCATACTGTAGGAGTGGGTGATAATCTCCCCTAATAATGAACCTTACCTATCTATACCTCTGTACCTCTGTCCTCGTCTGTGGAGTACAGGTGACAATAGTTATTCCCAGGGTGCTCCAAGCTGAGAGCATGGCTCCCTACTTAGGGACCTAGTAGGGAACATGGCCAAATATCTTCATCCATTGTCATTAAGACAGAGGTCCAAGAAACAGGTGGCTTCCATCTCCTTCATTTCTCAGCTTACCTCTTGCCCTCTGGCAGATGGAGAAGTCGCCCCCAACGAGCTTGACACTGTCATTTCCTGAACCTAAGGGAAGTGACTTGCTCAGGGCTCAGGGCCACACAGGTCTGTGCCCAGGCAGGGCCCTACACTACTTCCTGTTCCAGATCACTGTGCTATTGTAAGGCAGACAGCTGTGTGTGTGTGTGTGTGTGTGTGTGTGTGTGTGTGTGTGTGTGTGTGTGTGTGTTTTGGGGGTAGGTGCCATGTCAAGGTTGGCCTATGGCCAGAAGTCAAAGGAAGGATCCCAGGTTGTGGATGGCATGACCGGGAGTCCTTAGGCAGCTCTGGTGCTGCTTTCATGCCCAGGGCATTGTCCTAGGAGGCTGTCCAACTTCCAAGTCAGCCTGTGTTCTGACATCCCAGAATTCTGGCCCAACTTTAGCCTTTTCCTCTTTCCTACTCTTCCTTTTTCATTCCACCCTGGAATCCATGCATCTGCTAATCAGAGATGTGCTGACATCTGCACTGGGATGGTGGCATTGGTGCAGGTGGTCTGAGAGGACAGTTGACCTCTGTACAGGTATGGACAGAGGCTTGGGCTGTGCACAGGGGCACAGGCAGGGTGAGGTTGCAGCTGCACCACTCACTATGGCATAAGGCAGTATCCCTTAGCCTATGATACTCTCCTCTGCATCTGCAGGAAGGATCACGGCAGAGTGGCCACTGGAGTCCAGCACAGGCCCAGACAAAATGGTCTATAGTCAGATACATGCTGGCTCCCCAAAAGACAGGCTCCTAGACACCTGTGCCTCAAATGTGGCCTTACTTGGAAACAAGATCACTGAAGATGTAACTGGTTAAGATGAGCTCACCTTCCTGATCCAATGTGACTGTCATCCAAGAGAGGCATAGTGTAGGAAGCCACATGACCACTCCTGCAGTCAAGGACGCCAAAGATGGCTGCCACCAGTAGCAGCTGAAGGACACAAGGAGGATCTTCCCCCTTGAGCCTGTGGTGTGGGTGTGCCCCTGCCGGCACCCTGGTTTCCCCAGAATGTTAAGATGTACGTTTAGTATCTTTTCATGTCAGTTGGTCTGTCTTTCACCCAACTGTATTGTCCTCCAAGGGAGTGGGGTAAATGTCATATCCTTAGCCATCTCCTGGCTAGTGATGCTAAGAATGGAGTTTGGCAGAGGGGAAAGTGGTGTGTGGGGTCCAAGGGGTCTCAGGGGAGGGCTTTCTTCAGTCTGGAGGTGTCAAGGGCTCCAGCATATCCTCTGCCTCAAAGGAAATGCTGAAGGACTGGGATGTGGCCACCGGGGAGGCTGCAGGGTGTGACAATATGAGCCAGCATCCCCGGGTGGTATTGGAAGGAATCCTGGTATGTCTGGTGGGGCAGAATGGTTGAGGGAGATACAGCCTTTGTCCGAGTCACTGGGGGAGCTGTCAGCCAAGGCACCCCAGCTCAGTTGCACTGGGATGCGTACGAAGGCTGTGGGACACTGCCACAGCTTCTGGACCTGGATGGCACCCCCGCTTTTGTCTGTTCTTAGGTACCGGGGCATGTGGTTTAGCTGCAAGAATGACTGTAGTCACCACGACACCTAGGTTACCCAGACACAGTTCCAAACACATTTCTCTATGATGTGGTGTTTCTGCTCTGGCTGCCATAACTCAATGCCAAGGACTGGGGCTTCACACAGACACTCCTTTCTCTAAGTTCTGGAGATGAATGTCTGAGGTCAGGAAGCCAGCAAGGCTGGTTTCTTCTGGCCTCTCTCTTCATCCTGCAGACAGCCCCTTCTTCCTATGTCCTCACTTGGCCTATCAGTGTGCCCCTTGTATTATCTTTCTCTTCTTAAAAATAATTTATTTCATATGCATTGGTATTTTGCCCGTATGTATATCTGTGTGAGGGTGTCAGATCCACTGGAGCTGGAGCTACAGACAGTTGTGAGCTGCCATGTGGGTGCTGGGAACTGAGCCTGGGTCCTCTAGAAGAGCAGCCAGTGTCCTTAACCACTGAGCCATCTCTCCAGCCCCTCTTTCTGTTCTTATAAGGGATGCCTGTCTTATGGGACTAGGGTCCCACTCTGATAACCTCATTTATCAGTAATTATCTCCTTAAAGCTTTAACTTCTGAATGCAGCTGCTTTGGGAAATAGGAATTTAAAATATGGATCCTGGGGAACCCACTTCCATCCATAACACACAGGCTTTTACAGACCCTCACTTCACAGATAAGGGAACCAAGGCTTGGGGGACTCAGGTGCCACATGCTCTGACTCCCCGTGGGTAGTCTAGCCCTACTTTGAGCACCCAGCTTAGGTTGGATCCTCCCAGCCTTCTCTGGCCATTTTCATGTACATGGGGGGTGGGGGCAATCCCTCCCCCCCCCCTTCACCTTGGGAAGTTCCCAGGAATATGACCTGGTGAGGCAGAGCCAAGGGTGTGAGTATATTTGTGGATACGTCTGGCTTGGAGCTGACTCTTGGGCCCCTCAGCTAGGGGAGAAAAGAACTGACAGCTGAGCATAAGTCACATTCTAATAGCACAAAAGGCCCTTAGGGATCCAGGAGATCCAGATGTGGACATAGCAGGAGAAGGACAAAGGGTAGACACGTGGTCAGGAGGAGGGTTCAGGTCAAGCACCAAGTGTATGCTATCAGGAAGTGGGAACTGCAAGTCCAAGTGAAAGACTGGCGGACAGGGTGGAGGAAGACGACTGGATGTAGCACCGGAAAGCAGGAATGACGCTAGACCTCTGGACGCTGCCCTCCTGGAGCAGGGGATTCCCAGACACTCCCCACCCCCTAGGGATTGTGCTGCTTCTGACCCAGGGCCAGGCCACAGTTTACCTCTTTAGGAAAAAGAGCTCAGAATACCATTCTTTTTATTATTTATGTGTTTGTGACTGTGTGAACATGCACATCTCAACATGTGGAGGTCAGAGGAAAACTCACCGGAGTTGGTTCTCTCCTCCCACTATGTGGGTTCCAGAGTGCGGCTCTGGTCATCAGGCCTGCCCACTGAGCCATCTCCGTGGCCCTCAGATAACCTGAGGATTTAAACGACAAAGACAGAGGCGAGCCTGCAACAGAGGCAAGCCTGACGCGGGGCCTCTCTCCATCTAACTCTTCACAGTCCAAGCTCTATGAAAGCTGGGGTTCTGGGGAAGCATTCACCTTTGATGTCTGAGGTATCAGGGAAACCCTGGGGAGGATTTCTCGTGGCCCTTCCTCATCCGGGGCTCTGAAGTAGGACCAATCCTTCACTTAGCCCCCTCTGCCTGGTGACTGGCCCCAGGTGCAACCTCCCTCCAACCTTGCCACGTGCAGTCCAGTGCACCCTTGCCACAGTCCCATGTGCAGTCTACACCAACGCAATGCAGGAAAGATCTGCGTCCCGGGAATAACTCCATGCCCGACTTGCAGGCTCTCCACCTAAGCTCCAGTCATTCCGCCTGCTAGCGCCTCCTGAGTAAGATGAAGTTAGTTCTTTGAGGCTACAAAATGGGCACCCTGGGGACCCTCAGGCCACCTGAGGGGGCCACAGGGCACCACAGGTGTGGACCCTTGCTCACTGGCTTTTGCACTACTCGGGGAGTCCCACAGTTCACCAACCCCCTGCATCTCTTCTTTCAGTACCAGTGTGGACTGGGTAGAGGCCGGAACTCTGTGTTGGGGTTCCTGTTTCTGCCCGGAGGGACCGGGGCGCCACTCAGAGTGCACCAGGACCCAGGCCAGGGACTCCAGTCGCTATGGTAACGAGGCCCGCCCTATAGGTGCAGCGGGCGAATGCTGGCGCTCGGGATCCAGGAGACCCCAGTGCGGGCTCGCCGGGTTCTTCGTCGCGCGCCGGGAGACGAAGCGGATACCGCTGGGTCCTGCCGGGTGGTGCACGTGGTGAGTGGCATGGCCATCGCATCAGGTTCCTGCTTCCATGTAGCTTTGACCCACACTTCCCAAACGCCAGCCTCGTAAGTCGCTACAGGAGACCATCGAGAGGCAACGGCCGGCAGCAGCACTGGGTGCAGGCAGGGTTCACTCAGATTTGCACATAACCGCAGTGTTTTCACTGCTCTGCAGTCTGGAACGGCGCCTCAGTCCCTCCGGACTTAATGAGTCCGTTATTTTGTACATTGCATCTCATCCTGGCTTGGCCCGACATTTAACATGATTAAGTTACTCATTTTTAGCATTCTGCCCTCGTGCCTCCCAGAAGACAGTGGTGTCTGCCAAGTGGCTATCATAGAGTTGTTATTTTCTGCTGGCTTTGTGGCGCATGCCTTTAATACCGGCATTTGGGAGGCAGAGGCAGGTCGATCTGAGTTCGAGGCCAACCTGGTCTGCGTAGTTCCAGGATAACCATGGCTAAGAAGAGACCCTGTCTCAAAAACCTAACTAAATAAGTAAAGTCACTTTATTATTTTCCTGTTGTAGATGATAAAACCTTTTGGGGAGGTGCTTGACTGTGTAAAGTCTTGCTTCTAACCCATATTTTCAGTCACTAATTTTAGCATACGTCAGTGAAAACATCCTGATTTTTTTTTTCATTTAATTTCACATTTTATTATTATATTTTTTTTTTGCTTGGTTAGTTTTTCGTCTTTCAAGACAGGGTTTCTCTGTGTAGCCTTGGCTGTCCTGGAACCCATTCTGTAGACCAGGGCTGCCTTGAATTCAGAGATCCGCTTGCCTCTGCCTCTGGGTGCTGGATTTAAAGGAGTGCTCTACCACCACCCAGTCACATTTTATTTTTGCTGTGTTGGGTGGAGAAAAGAAATCACAAGTTAGCTGAATCAAACTATTCAGACCTTTCAGACTCAACTGGGATCCAGTTTCCAATGGTCTTTATTTAGAATCTGGATCAGAGTAGGTTTCAACCACTGCTCTGGCAGCTGCGGCCCTGGGAGAGCTGGTTAAAGCAGGCACAGACTGTATTCTCCAGGGCTCCTGTCTGGATACAGGCCAGTCCTCCGTGAGGATAACAGGTGAAGGAGACTCAGCCACTCCAAGGGGTTGGGGATGGAGATCATTGATGTCCCCATGGGTCAGACCTCAAAGGTCATTCTCCTTCCACCTATATCCTGGAATCTTTATGAAACTCCTCCATGAGGACCAGGCAGTAATTGACTCCTTGGCTTCAGGAATAGTCCAATATAAGCTCATTGTCTTAGTCTTTGTTCTATTGCAGTGAAGAGACACCATGACCAAAGCAACTCTTTAAAAAGAAAGCATTTAACTGGGGGTTTGTTTAGTTTCAGAAGCTCAGTGGTGGCAAGCATGGCACTGGAGCAGTAGCTGATAGCTACATCCTGATCCACAGACGGAGAGAGAGACAGATAGAAAGCAAGACAGTCTGGCATGGACTTTTGAAACCTCAAAGCCCACCCCCAGTGACACACTTCCTCCAACAAGGCCACACCTCCTGATCCTTCTAATCCTTTCTAACAGCTCCACTCCCTGGTGACCAGGCACTCAAATACACGAGCCTGTGGAGGCCGTTCTTATTCAGACCACCATATGCATGTAGCAGCTTCTGGAAATATTTTTGCTTTTCTTTGATCCTTGACTTGCAGAGCCTGATTTACACTATTTTTCTTTCTCACCTGTAGCAGGAATCTTAAAGAGTCTTTATTAATAAAATCAAACCTGAGCTAGGTATTGGGGTGAACACTGGAAGATCAGAGAGACAGAATGAGCCACAGCTAACCTCACCTGGCCAACTTCTCAGCTGATCTTGTTTCCTCAGACTGGAAGCCTCTGTGTCCTCATATCCGAATGAATCTCAGCTGAACTTTGCTGCTCAAAACCTAAAAGCTTAACCAGCAAATGCTTCTAGTTTCTGGTCCTCACGCCTTATATACCTTTCTGTTTTCTGCCATCACTTCCTGGGATTAAGGTCGTGAGTCACCATGCTTGGCTGTATCCTTGAACAGATGAATTTCTAACATTGGAATGATAGGATTAAAGGCGTGTGCTACCACTGCCTATCCTAAGTATCTAGTGGCTTTTCTGTTCTCTGACCCCAGATAAGTTTATTAGGGTACACAATATTTTGGGAAACACAATACCACCACTAATATACTTTACCTTCAAGAATTTCAATCTCTGTAGAAGCTGCAGGTTTCCCAGTCATACCACCTCTTTTTTAAAAAAAATAATTTTATTTTTATTTATTTATTTTATATCCTGGCTGCAGTTTCTCCTCCCTCCTCTTCTCCCAGCCCCTAGCCCCACACACAACCTTATTCCTACCCACCCCTGTAGCTGGAGTTTTCTCTGGTCCCACCTGGCCTGGCAGTTGGTGTTTCTCTGGTCCCGCAGCTGCTTTAAGTTATAAGAGCTAGCTAGCAAGAAGTCTGCCATAGGCCATACAAATGCTAATTGTAACAATTGTTACAGTTGTGTAGCTTGGTCCTCTTGTGAGACTCCTAACCGTGGGAGCAGGGCTGTCTCCAACTCTTCTATTGGCTTTTGGGACCCAACTCCTCATACTAGGTGGCCTTGCCCAGCCTTAATGCATGGGAGGGTGCTTAGTCTTACTGAATGATTATTTTATATACAGGACCTCGGGGCTAGGCGGACCGGAGAAACTTCCAGCTACATGCCCCCATCTACTACTCCTCTGTTTCTGTTTAGGAAAGGGCAGGTCTCCCATGAGTATCTGTAAAACACGGCATACTGAAAGGACCAAGCAGACGCCATAACAGGCTGTCAGTCTCCTCTCAGAGATCAGGCCTCAATTTCAGTTTCCTGAGACTTAAGCAAGCAGTTTCTGGGAGGGCTACGACATAGTCCTTGCAGTAGCTCCCTTTCTGCACGTACTCTGACTGCTCAAGGTTCAGTCAATTGTTTACTGTCTGAGACCCCTCACCCACTTAGAGCTACGTGCATGGGTCAGTGTGAACATGTGAGACCAGCCAGCCTCTATGGCAGCTCAAGGACAGAGCCGGGACCACTGAGTCAGCCCCCACAGTCAGTATGTGCTAGGCCAGCCAGCCTCTATGGCAGCTCATGGACAAAGCCTGGGACTTGTCCAGGCCTGCCCAAAAATGATAACTGTAACCCCCAACCAGTAAATTCAAAGATTACATACCCTCACCCAATCATATGATGCAAAGGCTTGTACCATCCTGCTGGCCGGTTTTTCCCTTTGAAAACCCCTCACTCTGAGAGCTCAGGGCCGTCCTCCTCTACCCACTTAGTTGGAGTGTTGGACATGGACCAAATCTGGGCTTGTTTGTTATCAATAAACCCCTGTGTGTTTTGCATTGGATATTGGCTCTGTGGTGGTCTTGCTGGGGCAGGGGGAGGGAAGGCCCGAGACATGGGCACAACAATATCAAGTTGCAGTAAGACCAAGCACTTCCCCATTCATTAAGGCTGGGCAAGGCGACCTAGTGTGTGGCCCCAAAGAGCCAGTAAAAGAGTTGGAGACAGCCCTGCCCCCACTGTTAGGAGTCCCACAAGAGGACCAAGCTACACAAGTTGCTCTGTAGACCAGGCTAGCCTTGAATTCACAGATCCACCTATCTCTTCCTCTCAAGTGCTGGGATCAAAGGTGTGTGCCACCCTCCCAGCTACTACCACCTCTATTCTAACGCCTGGATTTTCTCTTAGGATTCTTTTTACTGAAGCTACAAGGCCTCATTAGAAACTGGCAAAGAGTCAGCACTTACATTGACCTACTGTGGAGTCAGAGAGCCTAAGTGCTAAAATACGGTGACTTCTGCTCCTGGCGGCCTCAGACCTGAAATAATTATGTCGTATTTGCCAAATATTCTTCTGTTTATGGAGATGCAGGTGGTGGGTTACACCATTTTTCCTCTACTTACGAAGTTACTGTCTATGCAGGGAGACCCCATTGTACTGTAGGGCTCGGGGCACCACACTATCTTACTTGGTTAGGAGAACAAAGAAGCAATGGCGGGGATAAGTTCCACCTTCCTGGCTTGAATGATGGCCTGCTGAGTTCTGAAGACCTAGCGGTAAGAAATTGCCCCTTAAGAAAAGAGAGGGCTATTTAGGCAAAGAGTAACACATACCCCAGGGACAAAAGCATCAGCCCTCAGGCCTCTGGAAGCAGCTGGAAGTCCAGAGAATGCTGCAGCAAGCCATGCCAGCAGGCTCCAACCCATGGGCCTCTGTCTGCAGCCCCAAGGAGTGAAACTCACTTTGAAAATATCCGGGAGCCACAGCAGATATAAAGCAGGATGGTATCACACAGTCAGGTCTCCATGTCAGAAGAGTAACAGCCTGAGGCCTGTGGCCAGTGAACCGAAGAGGCAAGTGGTAGTTGATTGCCTTGGGGCAACCCTACTTAGGTGTTTTAAAATGATTTTTCTGGTGTCCATAAAAGGGGCGTGTTAGTTACTTCTCACATTGCTTGACGTAAGCAGTTTAAGGAAGGGAGGAGTTGTCTGGCCTTGCAGTTTGAGGCTGTGATCTGTTGTGTGTGGCAGGGAAGTGTGGGCGAGAGTGTGAGGCAGCTGAGGTTCAGGCCTGTCAGTGAGATGACCATACCACTGAGTAGGCTGCAGGAGTGGGTAGCACTCACGCAGGCAGAGGGATCTCCTGAACTCTAGTGAAGGATGACTGCGTGGCAGCTCTGAGAGGCTAGGGTGCCGTGACTGCTGTGGAGCTCGGACTCACGCCAGTTAAGCAACAGGATGAATAAGGCTGCCTCAGTTTGTAATCTGCTCTAGGAACCCCATCTCAGGACATTTGAGGAGCTCTGGGGCATACAGTCTCCTCTGGATGGCGCTAGGAATCCCTTGCTCCAACTTTGGTTCTTCTTGGCAGTACTCAGATTTCCTGTGCCACTGTGTCCTCCTCTAGGATCAGGGACTTTGCACAGCCAATGTTTTGTTTGTGTCTACATACAGTTCATGCTTGGACCCCTAAAGAGTTGGGGGTCCCCACAACTGGCCTTGGGAGGCTTTGTCATACTTGTTACCTAGGTGCTGATAAAAGCCTCTCTGGGCCGGGCGGTGGTGGCGCACGCCTTTAATCCCAGCACTCGGGAGGCAGAG